TTCGGCGGGGGGGGGGGGGGGGGGGGGGGGGGGGTTGGCACTGCAGACGCAGCTGCAGCAGGTACTGGCTTTAGCGCCTTCGAAAACAAGCGCACGTGTTCCATCTTGCAGATTAGCTGCAAAATTGGGCAGGGCTAGACGCTAAGTGAAGCAGCACCAGCCCACATGCTAGAAGGGAAACGGAGCCATCCGCTGCAGGAAGTCTATTGAAACAGCTGTATACCTCGAGAAAAGTTGAGTTACAGCTTTCCTCAGTGGTAAAAGAAGCTTTAAGGCTGGGTGAGAGGTCGCATTCCCGTGAATGCGGTGCAGGAGTTGGTGGTCGAGTGGCAAGCGACAATAGAAAATGCCGCACAAATCTGGGTTACTGATCGCTAACCTAAGATGGGCGAAGTACGGCTGACACGCTTACGAGCTTAGCGATTTCGTCTAAGTTATTGAGTGGGGTGAATGAAAGGACGTGAATTCTAATGTGAGCGTTTTCGAATGTGTCTGTGAAAAAGAGGAACCAAAAGGGTTAAGAAAGCGAATCAAAAGTAGCGGGAAAGGGTTTCTGTGGATCCGGGAGAATTTCGTCTTGGCGCCGGGGGAAATTTGATTTTAAAATGAAATGAAAGAAGATCGTGACTTCGTTTTGCTGCGGCGGGTGCGTTGCGTTGGCTGAATTTGAAATGACGAAGACACCGCGGGCAGATCTCGTCCTCGGTCTGTACACCGCAGACCGTACACGGCCGGTTGAACCCCGTTCACTTTTCCTTTTCTGCTTTTCCGCGCTGGTAGGATGAAAGGATTCCGCACTGTCGCAATCGAACGGAGCTTTTAACTGACAAGACGCACGCCTCGCTTCGCGCCGACATGACCGGCGAACTGGACCCTCGGTTTCTCCGGAGTTTCCGCGCCACGTGGGAAGACACGCCGTCGTCGCACGCAGTTCCGCAGGCGGCTTTGACGGCGCTGGGCCTCACGCGCGGCGACTTCCTCGATGTGAAGGCCTGGATCTTCTTGGTGGCGCGAAAGCTGCAGTTCGTGAACGGCGAGCGCGCGGCGTTCAAGGTGAGTCCGCGCGCCCGAACTCGCCCGCTTCGCCGCGGCCACGACTGCCTGCGCAGGCCTGCGAGGCGCTCGCGGCGCTCTTCGGCGACCCGCGCTGCTTCGCAATCGTCCAAGACGCGCTGCTGGCCGCCGTGCCCAAGGAAGACGTGCCCCAAGTCTTGGCGAGCTGCTGCCTCAAACTCACTGCGCAGGTACGCGTCGAAAGCTGCAGCGCTCCTTCGCTGCCACCACTGAAGCTTAGGAGTGTTGGCGCTTCAGTTTGAGTCCCAGAGCAACGAAGCGGACCACGACGACTTCCTAGTGGGTCCAACTTCGCCTGCGCCCCTCTCAGCCAGCTGCACCGACTCTGCGCGGCCAACACAGAAAATGATGAATCTCGAACACACCTGCGCGCCGCAGATGCTGGCCTGGCTGGAAACTGCAGTGTTCGCGTGCCTGAGCTCTACGGACGGCTTCTCGTTTAGCGTACGGCCCCCGCTTCTCCCTTTTAGAACCTCAGACCTCATGTGCTCAGCATTTACAGAGAGCCACCGCTCTGGATGTACTGGACTTCCTTCATATTGCCGCTTTCGAATATTTGACCAAGCAGCTCTTCAATGTTCGTGAAGAGCTGCTGCTTGACCGAGAAACTTGCGGTCGCCTTCTGGCCTTTTTACACTGCAACAGCTTAATTGACTGCAGTAAGAAACTCCAGCACCAGTCGCCTGAATAACAACGTTTTTACAGCCCACTCCCAAACAGGGCTCCTCGCTCTCTCCGTATTCATCTTTTCGTACAGCCGTCAGCACATCATGCTGAGAGCAGCTCTACGAGAAATACTTATATCTTTGCTGGGACCAGACATAATCAGCCTCGTAAGAAGCCCTCGGCCATCTTCATTTCCCACCTAAACTCAATACTAAACGACGTGCAGGCTGAACCTATTTTGGCAGCTTTGAAGCCACGGCTGCTTGATGACATTAATGATCCACGACTTGCATTGCGGGCATACTTAGTGGTAAGTCCGTGCACCATTATCATGAATTATCCCCAAATTCCATACAAGCAATTCAGGGTATACACGGGCGCAACAGCGAGTCCTCCATGAGCAAGATACAGGCCCATTTGGACTTCATTTCCTAGACCTTCTCTTCTAACATTCTGCTATTCCCAACCACCTCCACAGTCAAGATGGACTGGGTGGGTATTAATCTGAGTGAAGGTCACACCTCGAGCATTGATAGCCTCTGAATCACCGTCAGAGGTCCCTATAGTAATCGCGTCCGTATTACTAGCCTAAAGCCGCATTCATGTGGTTCTCGGCTGCAAAAAGTGCAGCCTCAAAGCTTGCCAAAAAATTGCACACAATGCTCTCCTAAGAGTGTAAAAAAGAATCTTTGGAATGATATTTGTATCTCAAAACTCTTTTATAAGCGCTGTTGGTTCCTTGCCATGCAAGGAGCTGCTACTCATGTAGGCAAATTTGTCCTTCATACACGAAAGAGACAAGTGCTCGACTCCTAGACACTGCCTTAAAATGGGTCTTCCCACGGGTTGCTGTAATTCTCAGACTTTTCCTAGCTGCCATGCCATTAGAAACTTCGCTTGAGTAAGTGAAGACGAGGTGAGGAACGTGCTGAACTTGCCATGCGTGACTGCTGCAGTGGCAATAGCTTGTTCGGGAGATCATTGGACATATTGAATTTCTTTTAAGAAGTCTATTGCAGCTGCGCTTTCACAGTTTGAACTAGCTTTTGTGGGGAATATGTGCAGCGCCCGCAGCGAAGCCATGATGAGCCTTGGCATCAGTCAAGAAGCGAATCAATTTACGCACTTCCATAATAAGAAGGCCAGGACTTGAGGAACGCGGAGCTCATCTGGCAAAGAGGCCTGAAAGTTCACTAGTCGCTGGGCTTTTAGAGTAAATTTGTACGTTCTTGGTGTATGGCTTCTGCCGGTGGACTCTGCTTGTATCAGAGTTACACACACTAGGATCCCAGTAGATCCAGACTTCATCTTTTCCTTAAACGCGTTCGCTTTCAACGTAGCTAGAGACTGACTGACATTGTGGGTCATTGATCTTACCAAGGGAGCGAAGGGCACGCAGTAACACAGAGCTCTTTTTCTTGGGCTTCTCGAACGAAAAAATAGGCGCAATATCTGGTCTTCGCAGTAAAAAAGCCATATTTGCTATTTTCAACAGTTTATTCAACGTCATCAAGTAGGCGAAAATTCCGTGAACGTGAAACCGAGGTAGTAGGCTCGCATCATAGTTTTGACAGCCGCCACATGCAACTGGTAAAATTGCAGAGTTGGGGCCAAAATTCGCACTATTCAGGAATTGTTTGTTCATTTTTGAGTAATAATTAATTAAATGAGGCTGGAGCCTCGTATTTTTTGGTGGAAGTTCGCGGTGACTCGAAGAGACGGCACCGGTGGTTGTTTCGATATTTGTGTTAGCATCCGTTGTCCCTTCAGTTATTCCCCTAGTCCTTTCATATTAAATGACCAGAAGTAAAGTCTACTAATGCTCCGGACTGTTTTTTCGAAGCACTACGGCGAGCGCATGTGTTTTTCTCCTAGAATACCCCACTCCGCTGGAGATCATAGTACGAAAAAGCACGAGTTCGCTTTTATTGACACAAAACGAATTTGACAGCACCAGAACATGCGGCCATTTTGAGTCCAATTCGTGGTTTCGTGTGAATTTCTGCTGAATGGGATGGCTTCTGCAATTGCCTAAGAGGCGTCATCCTCGACTCTTCTCCACACTTGAGTAGCCACGACATGAGGATTTACGGAGTAACTTCGTCACTGGATGCCTTCCGAGGTGGACTACGCTGGTCCGGCTTATAGCTAAGACCAAAGTTTCCGCAAAAGGTGAGAATCCCGAAGTTTTTGAGCTTTGGCTGTTAGCGCCATTGCCAAGAGGCGTACAGTGCGTGTAAGTATGAAGGAATTACTGCACTAGGCGCCTCAGTGCTGCATCTCTTGAAAGGATTCGTCTTTCCCGCTTTGTCTCTGCCCAGAAATGAGGACAGGAGGGTCACTGCAAACAAACAGCCGAAAGTGTGTGTGACGAAAACCCAGCAGCCGCTGAAACGCCCGTCTTGCTGCTGCTGTGCTTGCCTGTTCACAAGGACAACTCAACGATGAAGACAGGCAAGAATGCACCACCTGCACTGTCACCCCCTTGTCGCATTGTCATTCACTCGGAGGAGCCGCTTCAAAGCGCAGCAGAATCGGAAAAGGGCCAAACGCAGGCCCCACCAGCAGCGGGCCGTCCGCCTCCCAAGCAGGTGACTGCAGAAAGCGAAAGAAATGACTCTTGCAGCAGCATCTGCATTGGGGGGGGCCGCGGCGGCGCGCGAAACGCCTGCAGCCCGAGCGGCAGCCCGTTGTCTAAGAAAGCAATGGAAAGCATAGCGAGTTCTGCAGTTCCCAGGGGGTAAGTGGCATCAATAGACTCGGAAAGTCCTTTAGAAGCTGCTTCCCCACAGCCCAGATGCAGGGAAACAACAGGGAATGTGAATGCTCGAGGCGAAGCCGGCGCAGACTGACATGGTGAGCACTAATCGCCTTTTTGCAAGTCCGCAGGTACTTGAAGTATTGGGCTTCTCGCGCCGGACAGGACGCTGCAGACATTCCTGAATGCGAGGAGTTCGAATTGGCCTACTCGAGGCGGGCGCAGAGCCTTTTTCCGTTTCGCTCAACGACGACGGAGTGGACAGTCAACATGGCGGGCGGTGGGCCACTCTTGAAATGCGCACTTCAAGTCTTTTCGGGGATTCCTTTGCTTCTAGAAGGGTTGGAATGTCTTGCGAGAGCTCGTTGGGAGCTCCGCAGTGCAGTGTCGAGAGTGTAGGGTTTAGGGTTTAGGGTTTAGGGTTTAGGGTTTAGGGTTTTAGCGGCTGTGCAGGTTTTGTCGTGCTTCTCATGCCATGGGGGCCTTTCATGATGCTAGTTGGGTTTTTCTTCGGAGGCGTCCTTGGCTTTGGCTTGGCAATGGCGAACGACTTGTGTCGCCTGCGGAGAAAGACATCTGCAGCGACGCAGCAGAAGGTGCAGCAGAACTGCAGCGGCTGCTGCCGCTGCTGCAGCAGCTTTTTCGACCAAGCGTTGCTGCTGCAGCTGCGAAGCGTGAAGTGTCTTTCTACAGAGATAGACCAGCCAAGAGTGCGTTGGCTCTGACTTTCCCTTGCGTGGCTTTGCAGAAAAAAATATACCATTTGGTCCGCTGGGCCGGCTACCACTTCGCCAGCAGCAACGCGCAGCTGCAACTCATCTTCAAGGTCGTCGTGGAATATGAAGTAGGAGCTTCTAGAAGCAGCAAATAATCAGTTTAAGCCAAACAGCTCTGCAGACAAATGCTGATGCACTGCATTGCTTATGCTCCACAGAGGTGCTTCTGCGGGCGCCACGCGAATGTGAAAAGATTTGTTGCTGCTTCCTCTATAAAGTATGCATTTGCTTTTAAAGTGGCAAAATCATCCATTTGAAGGGAAAATAATGTTTTTATTTACTCATTTTAACTCCCTCTGCGCGGAGCGCATGAAGCAGTGCAACTCTTCACCATATTCCAAAGTGCCTTCTCTGTACTGCGTTTTCAAGGTGTTGGCTCGCTTAGGGGACATCTCTAAAACTGCTCGCGCGCAACTGAGACTCCTCTATTCGTTTTTGTGAGCTCATCGGGAATAATCTTCCTCGGCTGAGGCATATGGGAAACTAGAACGGGTTCTCCTGCTCCGGATAACTTTGCACTTTGCTGCAGCAGAGCAGACTCGTTAAGATAGTTCTTGTCAACTGTATCGGTGATCACTGTGCTTACTAAACTCAAATTATGAAGTAACCCAAGATAGCTTTCTCATGTTTGTACGAGCGCCGCAGGAGCCGCGATGATGTTGGGCACTGCCTGTGGCTTTACCTCGACTACTTCGACGCCCACTTTGAACAAATGACGAGAAACGAAATCTACATGTGTGCTCTTGTCTGTTACGTCTGCACACAATGTGCAGCGAGCCTAAGGTGAAGCGAACAATGACAAGCATCAGAGAAGGCCGTAGCAGCACAGACCCACAGATTTCAGCTGAACTTGGAATCACGAACTTGCCCTTAGTGTCTCGCTGCTTAGTGCAGCACCTTCGCCGTCTCAGGAGTCTTAGACGAAAAGTGCTGTATTTCTTGTGAAGTAGCTCAGTGGGATTCAAGGCAAATTCATGCACGATATATGGGCAGCCACGGAACTCAGTTCACCTTAATCCATCATTGTAAAGGCATCGAATTCTTCTGAGTTATGGCTTACTTCGGTGTGCATGCGTAAATTTGATAAAACGGGATGATAATTATTTGCTTTGTTGTGTGGAGCAGGAAGAGACGAAATCATCCTGTGTTGGAGCGCATGATCGGCATGTTGAACGACCCCGACATTCAAAAGATATTTCAAAGGGCGAAAACGCCAAACTCAAGACAGGCGAGAATCGTAAGCAGATTAACAAAGTGTTAAGAAGATGCATGTGCGCGTATTGCTGTGAGATTTAGCCCGTGTGCTCTGCCGTGGCAACTTGCAGCATTCTTGTTTCAGCAAGGAAAAGGTGCATTCACATCAGGGTTTGCTGGACTGGTTGTGCACTGTATGATCCTTTTTGGGCTTCATCATCGCACTAATTGAAGCATTTGCACTTATTTTCGTGTAAGCACTGGCAACGGCACTAATGAGAATGCTGGCAAAGGCCTAGAGAATCCTCCGCTTGCTGCAGGACGAGAGAACCGAGCGCTGCCTTTTCTACGCCGATAACAGCCAAGGGGTGCAAACTTTTGTAATGAAAGGCGGCGATCTTCTGCAATGTGCGCAAACAATAGGCAGTAGGATGCAGTCGGTTTCTTTCGGTTGCCCCCCTATTCACCACAAGGCGGACTAGACCCACTTTTTCCTAGAGTAGCGCCGCCGTTTAACCTCTTGCATGCTCACGAATGATATGTGATTTCAGTCTAGATTTGTCTTAGGGAAAAGATGGGTTTTTTATGACTTTCGGTGTGCGTAAAAGTGGTGGAAATGGATGTTTGAGGGGGCTGGAGAGTGTTGTCTTATCAGCGCTGCACAGGGATTGCACTGTGGGACGGAACGGCGATGCCTCTGATGGCGGCTCTTTTACTGACGCCATTTCAGACAGCCCTGTGGAAACTGATGGATCAAATGAGAAGGAAGAAAGGGAAAAAACTGGCCAGGATACCCTTGCAGTAAGCAATCAAATGCTGCTGAGCTCAGATATGCTCAGAGTGACATAATTTATTTCATTCACTCACTGACAACATCTCATGTCCCTACACTTCTTTCCAAAATGCGCAGCAACTACAAACAAAATACCAAAAGCTGGCCCAGGAGCCACGTCAACTCAGCGCCTTCCTATTTCCAAGCTCCTCACACTTCATATCCGCAGTGAATCATACGTGAATGTGCTCCCCTGTGGCTGCGGGACTTAGGGGGAGTTCCGGCCTTTGGAGAATTTCAACGTAGCGCTCAGCCAGGGCTTTTCTGTAGAGCGAGCAGCGCCGTGGACAGTTGAAGGAACGAACTCATCAGCGACGGCTTCGCCCACCAAACAGCTTGCTGTGCCTCCGCCTTCTCCCATCAACAAGAAGCAGCAGCAGCAGCTGCTGCCGCAGCAGCGACGGAAAGCCTCCTCCGCCCCCAGCGCCACCAGGAGCAGTTCCAGAGCCTCGAGGCATCAGCAAGAAGACACGAACGCAGAGGCTGCAAATGGTAGGGCTGTGAGAGAGTGGGGTGGCTGACTGGAGTGTTTTCTTTTTGCATTTGCTGCACCCTTTGTCTCTCTCCCGTTCATCGAAAGGGAACTGAATGTGGATGTCCACTTAGGAGAAGACACTGTGAGGAGACAATCTGTGCAAGAAAGCAAGGGGGAAGGTAGGACGAAGCTGGCCTAAAACCAAAGGGATTTTAAGACTTTTGCAGCACCCTTCCACAAGGAAGGACTCCGCAACCGGCAGCCTGGGTAGCAGAAAACGGGAAGCTCATTTAGCCATGTGTAGAGTTGCTAGGTGCGTGCGCGTAGAGGCCCCGGCTCGTCTGTTTAAAAACTACGAAGATTTAATTAACTTCGACATCACGCTGAAGCATCAAACTCCAATGTAAGCCACTGCATTTCCCTTAAGTTGCGGCTGTTTCCTGAATTTTGCATCTCAAGATTCTTAGGTAGCTCACTACTGCGGGTGGCAGCCATTCGAGGGAGTCATAGGTATTGGAAATAAAGACGAACTAGAAAGATAAACCGATTAAATGAAACATTTGGCGGGCAAGTGTAGCGGACTAAGCAAGCGAGCAACACATGAAACTGCGTTTCTGAGGTGCTTGTGCTCGTCGCAGCGCTCCGTATGAATTTCAATTCTTGGAAGAACGAGAAAAGCACGACCCGAGTGATCCTTCTTGGGAGCAGACGGTCGACCAGCCTCTAATTAGTGTTTACAAATACATTTCTCCGAATTCTCCTGTTGTTATAGTCAAGGCCTACGCAAAGTTTGATGGAATTCCTCTGGCTGTGCTCAGCCGAAACATAAGAGATGTCGAATGCAGGCTCAAGTGGTACGCTTAGCTAGCCACCAGTCAGGGCTTTAAGCCCACGACTTCCGTGGCAAAAAACATTTACACCCTTAAATCCGGAATTACAAGTCCTAAACTCCTGCCTCCAACGCTGAACTCCCCATTGCTCAAGCCGGTTGAGTTGCTGTTGGCCGCTCAGGGACACAACATTCGCAGACTATCGCATCGTAGAAAGCGATGTTGACGGCTGTGAAATGATATACTGCGTGATGAAGGCACCTTTTCCAATTTCAAATCGGGATTTTTTACAGGTGAGTCACCTCCTTTGTGCTGCAACGCAGCGGGAGTTGCACGTGCATCTTACCCGTGTACTAGGTAGAAAGCATCTATATCTATGAAAGCACGTAGCATGTATCAGTACAAAGCTGCTACGTTTTTCATCTGTATTGATATCGGTCCCCGTTTCATTGTAATTCCAATTCCCAGCTGCAGACTGCAGCGTTTCAGGAGGTAAACTAGCAGCAAAATAGACTGGCGAGTTACGCGACTGCGCAAGAGGGCAGAATTTCTCATTATAGCACCACTATGACAGGCGTGCTGGTGGATGTATTGCTGTGCCTAATCATTATCTATTTGCTGCAGTGGCGGCGGACGGTCGAAAAGCCTGAAGAAGGAGTCGTCAAGATGATGTTGAGGTGATACTGACTGCTCTCGATGCATTCGTTGAATTGAAGGAACATTTTGTTTCAGACCAGTCCTTGCTGCTCGGCTGAGCACTCAGAGAGTTGAGGGTTCACATTTTTATTTTGAATTTTAGGGTTTTCTGGAGCTCCGACGTCATGAAATAGCTCTTCAGATTTAGGCTTGTTTTGCAGATCTGCTGACCATCCTTCGATTCCAGAGCAGTCGGGCTGCGTGCGCGCAGAAACTCTCATTTCTGGTGCTTCCTGATCCCTTTTTTGCACTTTGGGCTGCCTAACGTAGACCAATTTGTTGCAGCAAATAAGTAGGAGGGATCTCACCTTGGTCTCTTGTTGAATCATTTAAGAGAATTCAAAAGCTTGTTCTGTCAATATGCCCTTCTTGTTGTCTTCAGGCTACCTCATGCGACGGAGCTCAAGCGACCCCAATTCTTCTTCGCTGTTTATTGTGGCGCAGACAGATGTGAAAGGCTTACTTCCAAAGGTACAAAAAGCGGCTGAGCTTTGGCCAATAAACTCTGCTAAAACTTATCTCTCTCTTCTTCTTGTATGAGCAAGTGTGATAAGTGGCGGCAGCCAATGGAGCCTCCTGGCTGGAAGATCACAGAAAAGAAGTGCAGGTTTTGGGGATCGCTATAATTGCACGGCGTGCACATGTTCACAAGCTCTGTGTACCGCATTGACACGTGCATGCGTAGTGATATATGCATGTATATATTTATGTTAAAGACTTAAATGTGCATGCAGCACTGGTGCATGCCTGTGGATATACGCGTACGCATTTCCCTTCATATATATGCATCTGGCAGCACTTAATGGGTGAACAAAAGGCCTCTTTCTGGACTTTAAAGAGGCCTGATGATGACTTGGCAACAATTGCACTTCTGCATGCGTTTGTGCAGTGGCTGGTGAACTCCACAGCCGCGAGAGCCCCCGTGAGCTGGGTGGACAACCTGCGCCGCGCATGCAAGAAGTACATGGAGGCCCTTCCCCAGGAGGGGCCCACTTGAGTGCGTTGCAGCTTTTTCGTTTCGAACTGCCTTTAGTGTCCTAAAAGTGTTCAAAAGGGAACTCTCTTCACGCGGATTCCACGCAAAGAGGCCGCGGCCAAGCCCCGGACTTCGCAGCACAGCGACGGGCGGCAGAAGCGGCTCAGAAGATATACTGTTGGGAGTCAGCCACTGGCCACTTTTGATGTTCAAACGAATACTCTGAGGCCCCTGGGTGGCCTGCCTTGAGCCCAGTAGCCCCTTAGAGTGCCGCCCCACTGGCCAGTCCAAACTGCATGCGCATGCAGACAGTGGGGAAGAAGGCCTTAGACTGAGAAGAGCACAGCCTACGAGTGAGGCCGTAGAGGGATCGCGGGCAAAAGCACTTGAAGCTTTTTTGCATTTTATTAGTTCTCGCGTTTCTGCTTTGGGCGTCCGTCTTCTTGCGGGGCCCCCAGTGTGCAGTGTGCAGACAGCCGAAACATCTCATGTGGAAAGTGCTGGGGGGGACTTAGTTGGCTTTTCTCTCGTCTTGCAAAGTGTCTGTACACCCCAGAAAGGCCCAGCCCCACCCCACGAGTCTGCACCGCGCTTAGGCTCTTTTGGGGGCAAGAGGGGAAGCCAAATCAACTCTTCTGTTTCTGGCTAGCTATAGCCTCTTAAGTGGTCGCTGTGGAGAGTTTCTCACTATGTGGCGAGTTCACCTTGTCAACAAACTAGTTAGTTCGCCTGCACTGCCAGCTGCTGCAGCTTGTGATTAATTCATTCTGTTGCATTATGATTAATTCATTCTGTTGCATTATGATTAATTCATTCTGTTGCATTATGAATAATTCATTCTGTTGCATTATGATTAATTCATTCTGTTGCATTATGATTAATTCATTCTGTTCCATTATGATTAATTCATTCTGTTGCATTATGAATAATTCATTCTGTTGCATTCGTTTGGAGTCCATTACAAGCCCCGTGCAACACCGTGCAGATGAGGGCTGCAGCGGCCCGCTGGCAGGCCGACGGCGTCCGCAGGAATATAAGTTGCAGATGTTACAAAAGTGGCTACGAGTGATGCGCGAGTCCCCCAAAGCGCAGAGTTTCAGGTGTATGTACACCACGCACGCGAGTCCACAGCGCCTACTCTGCGTCCCAGATGCCGAAGACCGAAGCCACGTGGGCCAGCAAGGCCGCGACACAAGAGGCTTTCAACTTCAACAACAAAAAGGCGAGCAACATGAAAAACAAAACATTGCCCCCGAATGTGCACAGCGCGAAAACCAGATACAGCAGCATGCAGAAGTCCCCGCTGTACAGACGCCTGAACAAACGCAGCAAGCTGGGGATTCAGACAGTGAACTGCAACACAAGAATAGAAAAGAATAATTCAACAGAAAAGATTAATTCAAGGACTTGCAACACAAGAGTAAAAAAGATTAATTCAAGACAAGAGAATCCGGAATAAAACAAATGACAGGCAACAGAAACTGCCAACACCGGCGCCGCTGCTGCGGCTTGTTGGGGGCTACAAAGCCACGAGACAGCGGCATTCAACTTTCGAAGTGGCTTTTGAATAAAAGAATTAATTGAAAAGAAAAAAAAAGAAAAAACCCGCAAATGGACTCAGTCGTTTTTGGCTCTTCGTCGAACAACTTACACCAGCGAAACCAAAGAGGCGAGGAACTCGTGGGCCTCCAGCTGCTCCAGCGGCAGAAAGCTCTGCACAGAAAAAGATGCCGCAAGGGTTTAGGGTTTAGGGTTTAGGGTTTAGGGTTTCCCTCAAATGGGAAAATGAAGTGAAAGATCCGCAGAGCACATCTCCATGCTGCTGCTTGGGACTGCGGCGCCGGCGCCGGTTTACTACTGTGCGCTGGGCCCAAAACCCCAAACCCTAAACCCTAAACCCTAAACCCTAAACCCTAAACAGAATAGACAGAAACACTCCAAGCAGGAAAGAGCCACGAGGCACATTGCAGATGAGCTGCACAAGAATAGAAATGTGGAGAAGCTTTGCACACATTTGCAGAAAACTTTGCATTTCTAATTGTGCAAATTCAGACATTTTCGCAAATCTAGTGTGTCTCATTTCTCATTTCAAAAAATGCAAATTCATTTTTGAAAGTTCAAAATTTGATTTGCGAGCAAATGCATGCACGATGAGTTTCAGGTGTCCGAGTGTACGTACAGCTCCTCGCGCACACGCTGCGGGCATTCGCGGCTCCAGAGAAACAGAAAAGTAAAATAAAGAAAAAATATAAAATCAAACAGAAATAAATGCAAAAAGGGGCCATAAATGCCTCTAAATGTTCCCCGTTTTGCTCCCAAGTGCCCCCTCACCGCCTTGACATGCAAAGTGATCCCCGGAAGATCCAAAAAGAACAAACAGTTCGTCAGCGCCAAAGCAGCTTTTGGAGAAACATAAGGAGAGCCCACCTGCGGGTCCCCCCCATGTCTCTCCTGGGCTGCACCCTCCAGGGGCCCCCCCAGGGGCCCCCCTAGGGGCCCCCCCTGGGGTGGGGGCCCCCCTGGGGGCCCCCCTGGGGGCCCCCCCGGGGCCTCCCCCCCCGAAGCCCCTCGCTGCAAGGCGGGCGAGGGCCTCCGCTGGAAGGCTGCGGCGTCTTGGAGCTCTTGTTCTGTGCTGCATGCAGCAGCAGCAGCAGCAGCAGCAGTTTCGGAAGCAGCGAGTCTGTTGTGGGGTTCGGAGTTGCTGCCGAGTTCGGGGTCCCTGAGGGCTGCGGTGTACGTACACCTCTCTTCACTGCGCCGGCCGTGCAGCTGCTGCTGCAGCGAAGAGCCCTCTGCGGGGCGCCTTGGGGCCTGCGCGTCCGCCTCCCCGCAGCAGCAGCTGCTGCCGCTGCTGCTGCTGCTGCTGCTGCTGCTGCAGCTGCTGCTGCTGCTGCTGGTGCTGCTGGGGCTGGGGGTGCCTCGCGGGGGTGCGGCGCAGCAGGCGAAGTCGAGTCTGCGGGAAGGGGCGACGGCGGTGGCGGTGCTGCGCGTGGCGAGTCTGAGGGCGGCGCGGGCGAGGGCAGCAGCAGCAGCAGCAGCAGCAGCAGCAGCAGCAGCAGCAGCAGCGCGGGCAGCAGCGAGGCGGCGACGCGCGCAGCAAACGGAGGGGCGCAGGGCCCGCAGGCGGGCCCCCCAGAGGCAACCCAGCAAGCAGCGCAGCTGCAGCAAAAAGGGCACAAGACCCACAGTGAGAGACACAGTGAAGGCCGCGCATGCAAACATGGGGGCTGGCAGCAGCAGCGAGTGCAGCAGGAAGAAGAGCTGGAGGAAGCAGCAGAGGCGGGAGAGCGCGGAGAGCCCGAAGTGGGAGAAGACGCAGCAGCGCGAGGGCGGGTAGGCGCTGCTGCTGCTGCTGCTGCTGCTGCTGGGCACTGCGTTGCGGGCCCGGACGTAGCAGTAGAGCCCGAACTCCGCAGCCACGAGGCAGCTGCTGCAGGCCGCCGCGAAAGCCAGCTGCGCAGCGCCGGGCAGCAGCGTGTCGGGGTGCTGCTGCAGCACGCTGCGCAGCAGCAGCGCAGCAGCGCCCCAAAACAGCAAAAAGTAGCCCCAGCAAAAGGCCAGCACGGCCCGCGCGCAGGCCGGAGTCCACCGCGTCGTCAGCGGCGGCAGGTCCTCCACCGAGCCGTCCAGCCCGAGCTCAACCACTTCTGCATGCGAAAGCACTTCGTGCAGCAGCGAACGCCGAGAAACGGCAGCAGAACTCATTCTGAACTCGCCGCATTCTGCGGATCGCCCACAGCCGCGAAAGCGCCGCCGCGCGGCTCAGCTGTACAGACACTCCAAGCCGCCGCGCGCGCGCCCGCCCTCCAGCGATCTGCGGCTTCCCCCGCCGCACTTTCGCTTTTTTTCCTTTTCTTTTCCCGTTTGCTTCCCAGAAAACGCAAAAAAAACCAAGTTTCCCGCCGCCGCGCCGCCGCGTCCGCCTGCGCCGCCCGCGGTGTCCTGACAGCCCCCGCGTCGCTTCCGGCCTTCCGCGCGGCGCCGCCAAAGCCAACTTCGCACTTTTATTCCCAAAAGAAGAAGTCCGAAACTCGCAGCCGCAAGTGACCTCGCAGAAGCGCCGGCGCCGATCACGCGGCGCATGCCGCGGCAGTGAGTTGGGGCTCGCTGGTCGACCAGCGGCGCTGCCGCCCCTCCAAACGCAAATAACTCAAAGAGCTCTTGCGAAACAAAACAAATATTTCTCAAGTACTGCTTCTGCGCACAATGAGAGAGCCAGCACGGAGATGATATTCCCGTGCAACTCCACTCCCCCTTCAAACTCCCTGCTGCACCCCCAGCTGCGCCGCGCGGCCAAAACGACTGCAGCGAACTGAAATGAGGCTTCAGAGCGGCGGCGGTCGACTCGCGCCTCAGATAGCCAGCTGCATGCAGTGTACAGACACCGCAGCGCCCGCGGCAGAGCCCCCGCCGCACTCCCAGCACTTCACTTCTTTAGTTCTTTACTTCTGCAGGGCCTCCCCAGCCCTTCCCAGCAGCTTCTGCTGCAACCAAGGGGCCCCGTGCTGCAGCCAAAGGGCCCGCGGCAGCCCCAGAGCCCCTGCTGCTGCTGCAGGGGAACTGGGGGCCCCCGGGGTGCCCCACAAGGGGCCCCACAAGGGGCCCTGGGGGCCCCTTGTGGGGCCCCCGGAGGCGCCAAACTGCATGCGCTCGAAGGGCTGTTCAGCTTATTTAGTTCGCTGGCCAAATGAAGCTGCTGCTGCGCTGCCAGGGCTCACAGCAGCAAAGCCTTTGCTGCTTATTATATATATATATATATACATATATTATATATATATATATATACATATATATATATATACATATATTATATATATATATACATATATATAGATGTATATATATATATATTATGTACATATTGTATATATATGTACTTAAAGGCAGCAGCACAAACCCTTTGTGGGCCATTTGCTGCTGCTGGAGGCCTGCTCGCGGGCTCGGGCTGGGGTTTGGGGTGTAGGGTGTGAAGACGAGGGTTTAGGGCTCGCAGGCCTAGGGTTTAGGGTTTGCTGGCGAGGGTTTAGGGTTTGCTGGCGAGGGTTTAGGGTTTAGGGTTTGCTGGCGAGGGTTTAGGGTTTAGGGTTTGCTGGCGAGGGTTTAGGGTTTAGGATATTCTGTGCTTCTGTGAGCGAGGAGGAAGGAGCAACCCTAAACCCTGGTTTTGTTTTCTTCACAAACCCTCGGCACAAACGTAAACCCTAAACCTCCAGCCTCAAAACCCTAAACCCTAAATCAGAGAGTTTGTTGAGATTCTGCAGAACACTGCCGAGAGCAAAGCAGCAGCGCGCACTAGAGGGTTCAAGAAGTGCAGGTGCGGCGAGTTAGGAACTGCCTAGCAAAGCTCAGCGCCGTGCTGCTGCTGCTGCTGCTGCTGCTGCTGCTGCTGCTGCTGTTGCTGCTGCTGCTGCTGCTGCTCTGCTGCAGAACAGCGGCGGGTCCTTGTGCTGCAGCAGACTGCTGCGCCGCAGCAGCTTCACTTCTCATTAAATTCAAATCTGAAAATGTCTCTGAGGCGCTCTGGCTTCGGGAGGCCCCAGCGCCTCAAGAGCGGCCTCAGCCTTTAAACGTAAACTGCACTTCTGCTGCTGCTGCTGCTGCTGCAGCAGCAGCGCTGCAGCAGCGGCAGCAGCAATTCGTTACACGGGACTTTTTCCTGCGCCAGCAGCAGATTAAGGGTTTCAGCCCTGCGTAGCTGGAGCTGCTTTGTTCAAAAGCGATTTCAGTGAAGGGCAGCTGCTGCGCAGTTAAGCATTTGCTGCTGCTGCTGCTGCTGCTGCTGCTGCTGCTGCTGCTGCTGTGAATTGGAAACTTCTTTGCCCCTCTCCCCCCCGGCACTCGCCTCTGCATTAGCAGCTGCTAGGCAATTCGAGGGTTTGCTGCAGCGCTGCGCAGCCGCGCGGGCCGCGTGGGGTGCAGCAGCAGCAGCAGCAGCAGCTGCTGCTGCAGTTAGCCTGCGAGCGGGGCTGCAAGCCAGGCCGCGGAACTGTCTGTGCGCTGCGCCCGAGGGGCAATTGGGTGTTTAGAAAAGGCCTTTGTTTGCTAAGCAGCGGGGGAGCAGCCAGACACGGGGCGAGGGCAGCGGGTGCAGCAGCAGCAGCAGCAGAAGCGCAGCGAAGTGGAGAGCGGGGCGGCCTCGCGGCGCCGCGGCCCCGCTGGCCGCGCTCGAAGAGATTTCACTAAATTGCACTAATAAACTGTGAAGTTGAATTAATTTCAAGCAAAGGGGGGCGATCTGGCGGGGCGGGGCGGCCGGAGGCCGCGGCGGGTGGCGGTGACGGCTGCGGAGCACGAAGTGTGCGTTGCACGGCTTTGCAGCCTCGCAGCCGCCACTGAGTCGCTTACACACCTTCTTGTGCAGCATTTAGCGGAATTAAATGTCGAAAGGAAGCGAAGTGAAGGCGGGTTGCGGCGTACAGACACCTGGCGGCGTTGGAGCAGCAGCTCCCGCAGTGCGCGCCACAGCCACGAGCGCGGCGTCGCGTCTGTACACCCCGGAGCCGCGTTCTGCAGGCGCGTTTGCCGCGGAAGAACTGCCTTTTAGTGAAATGGCTTTTGCTTTTGCTGCTTCCGCGCTGTGGGTCCCGCGAGAGGGCCTCTGGCGAGGCGAAACGCGCAGTTAGTTGGCCGAAACGGCGGTCCGTGGCTGCTGGTCCAGCGCCGCCTCTGGGGAACGAAGCCGCGCAGGGCTTGTGGGTGTAGCGACAGTCGAAGGGGCCTTGCTGCGGACTGCCGTAGCAGCAGCAGCAGCAGCAGGAGAGCCCGCGGGCTGGCCAGAGTGCGGTGGGTCAGAGGCTCTGCGCGGCAGGCGCTGCTGCGTTTGGCTTGCAGCGGCGCGCCCTCGCGGTTTATACTTGCGAAGGGAAGCGCAGAAAGGCAGTTTCCAGATTTAAAGTCTGTCTCGTTTGCAGGGCAGCAGGACTGGTCTCGGTCTCGTCGCTGGCGCTGCTGTTGCCAGTTGCTGCTGCGCAGCAAGGAAGTGGCGCTGTTGCTGCTGCAGCAGTTGCTGCTGCTGCAGCGGCTCTGCGGCGCAGCAAAGCCGGCGCAAGCCCCTTTGTCGCTTCTTTTCTGCAGTCGAATTCCCAGCAACTGCGCCGCGGGCTTTGGAGTTCCGCGGCGGCCGTTAAGGGGCTTCACACGGCCGCGGGCTGGGAGACCTTGCGAGCTGATCGCGGCTCTGCCGCCCCTCCTCGCCTCCGCCGCTGGCGGCCCTTTCCCCCCCCGCCGCCGCCCCTTCGCCTGCATTTTCTCTTGTCTCTCGGCTTATTAATTCGAAAGAGGCGCTGGAGGCCGCTGGGGCCCCGTGGAAGCTGCGGCGCCACCCTCTCTCGGACCCCGGCGGAGCCGCCCGACCGCGGGGCAGCCGGGGCTGTCCGCCGCGGCTCGCCTTTGTCTTGGCATTTTTTTCTTTTTCCTTTTTGCTGCGCAAACGCGTTTGCGCTCGCGGCGGCGCAGCAGCAGCCGCCGCCGCCCGCCCGCGGCCGCTGCAGCCGCGAGCCACCGCCTCCCACGCAGCCCCCCGCGCCCCCGCCGCCTTCTCCCGCGCCTTCCTTCGCTCCCCTTCTTCCAACTGCCCTTTGGGCCCTCCGCTGCGCCGCAGCAGCCGCGGGGGCCCCCCGCCGCCC